TGTACGTAAATTTGATTATTGATAAATAAATGAAATGATAAATGATAGGATGTTAAAATTATGTTTTAAAGTCTTAGGTTTAATTAAACTCTTTTTTTTTGTCGTAGACCAAAAACGTATCTATTTTAATAAAAAAAAAAGATTTTACGTATTACGTCCAGCATATTTACATCTTATACCTATGGATCGTTTGCTTTTTAAATATTTAAGAACGTTTTTTATGCATTATCAAATATCACTTTCTATTAAATACTTAATCGGTCTTATAATAAATATAGGATTTTTATTTTATATTATACACTTATAAAAAGTAAAAATGCTGGATAACCTTACACTACAGATTAGATACAGATATATCCGCAATTTATTTGAGTGAAAAATTATTAAAAATTAAAACTGTACACTAATTATAATTATTCCAGCTTAACATAAATTTTAATTCGTATATTAACTATAAAAATATATTAGGTAGTTAAGGATTTTGTAAAATTATAACGAATTTTTAAAATGACAATCCTCCCTTCTTAGTCCTTAAATACATATAAACTGTGTTATATTTTTTTGGAACAAATTTATCTTGAAATAGTATTTAATAAAGGCATTTTGTTTTTTAAATCAATTGGTCAATACTACCAATAAGTATTGACTATACTATATAACTGCTATAATATACGATTATCAATATTTAACGATAACGTAATTATCGTTTGTCAACTTTTATTTGAGCTATATTTATAGCTAGTCGGAGTTTCTGAAATAAGACTAGTTTTTCACTTATATCCTAGTTATTATAGTTAGTTGATGGCAAATAAAAAATAAATTAACACTGAATAATATACCTACCTGTATAATTATATACTACACTCTGTATAATTTGACGAATACTTACAGTATCTAATGAAAAAACAGCAGTTAGGTTGCCACTGAGCAACGTTATGAATATCAATGAAAAACGTGTTGTCAAAAATTGTTCCCGATTGCATTTCATTTTTTTTGGTTTTATACAAAAATATATAAAAACACTTAATATACGCCAGTTAACATATACAAAAGAAGTTGAGTACAGCTAATCCTCTGCGGCGCACAAACTTAGTATCTATGCCGGCTTGTCGCGCGTCTTGTTCATTTTTATACCCACTGAAGTGGGCACACAAATAAGTATTGTATTTGCGTGCTTTTGGTATAATATATTCTAAAGACAATATTTTTAAACTTGTAACATACAACTTATAACTTATACGTATATATAATATTTAGCCATAATTACCTAAGCGTTCTATAATTTGGTTATTTAGGCTGCCTACACCTATACCATTTATTCATAGTTGAGTTATTATTACACTTATAAAAGTATTTAAAATGTATACTGTGAAAAGTAGTATGTCGTCTAATAAATATGTTTACAGAATTAAAATACGATTATTCTAAGTAGGCATATTGACATTTTCATGTCTTAGCTCTGGCACATAACCGAAAAAAGCGTTACCTAAAAAGCGTTATCAAAAAAGCGTTACCTAAAAAGCGTTGCCAAAAAAGCGTTACCACACGAAGATGGGTTGGAGGTGGAAATAGGGGTAGGAGATAAGGGGTGGGGGTGGGATAGGGTTGGGGTTGGGGACAGGAGATAGGGGTGAAATATAGGGGCAGGAGATAAGGGTGAGTGATAGGGAGGGATATAGGGGGGAGATAGGGGTGAGAGATTAGGGAGAAGGGATAGGGTGGGAGATAGGGGTGAGTGATAGGGACGGGAGATAGTGGGTAGGGAAGAGGGGTAAGATATAGTAGATAAGAGATATGTTGTACGTTCAACGTTCAAATTAGAACTAAATAATAAATTCAAAATAGTTTAATTCTCTATGTTAAGTTACTTTTGGCCAGATAATAAACACTACAATTTTAGCCAGAAACTTGATTGTACATAATTTTTTTAACTCCTTGGCCTTATGCTGTAACTCGAAGCTCCATGTAATTTTTTTTTTTTAATTATAATTCCACAACTAATTAAAATTTATTCGGTATTTCAACGAGACATGAAAATGCTCTTTCGTGGTTGCAGACTCGGCTGAAACACTTTTTTTTTAATCTCCTTGGCCTTATGCTGTAACTGGAAGCTCCACATATTTTTTTTTTTTAATTATAATTTCACACCTAATCTAAATTTATTCGGTACTTCAACGAGACATGAAAATGTTCTTTCGTGGTTGCAGACTCGGCTGAAAAACTTTTTTTGTCATGATTTCAGGTCTAAATTGTACTTATCGAAAATGCTTGAACTCATAGAAAAAATTGTAAACGTAAAAACATATAATTCCATGAAGCTTACACAAATTAACCGCTTAAAAAATGTATAGGGTCAAAATGTATTAAAATTTAAAACCTCTTTGTTTCTAAATAATATTATAATTATTAAACATCGTCTATCTTTTATACAAAGTTTAAACATCAGTGGTCATTTTTGAAAAGGTGACCCTCGGCCCTCTCTCGTAGATTCAGGTTTTTAAAATTTTTAATTAATATAAATGAAAAAAGGCTCATATATATTTAATTTTATAATTAATTTGTATATTCGATAATTAAATAAATAATATATACACATAAATAGTTATAATAATAGTAATACAAACTTTATTTATGTAATAATATTTAACATATTTTTAAACTTTCTAAAGTAACATTTGTTACATATTCGTTTGATTTTAAATTTATAACAATATTTATTCTATTTCAACTCATTTTGTTTTTTTTTGAAAAATATTAATTAGTTTATATTATTTTTAATAAGCATTATTATTTGTATTGGCTAAAAATAGTTATAGTGTAACGGCCGTAGTTATAACAATATATAAATATTTTGTTCATACATAATTAATAAGTTAAAGGTTAAGAATCACCTAGACTAAAACCTAGAATAAATAAACTATAATCGGTACTTTTACGTCAATTCAAACAATTTATTTTTCAGTGATTTCTTCAGAAATGTATTTTTTAGTTTGTTTTTTGTGACTTTTTAAATGTATAACAGTTATCAAAAGGAATGCTTTTACTGAGACCAACTATAAAATAATTATATTTACATTTATATATATTTAAACGTGCACGGTGCAAATAATTAGAAATATCCAGCCAAAATTTACCAAGCCCCTCCCCCCAAAAAAAAAAATCATTAATAAATAATAATATATATATTACATTATGATATTTACTTTATAGTAGGAACTATAAAGTAGTGGTGGAACTATTCGAAAAAAATAATTCGAATACTTTATTCGCACGAATATTCGTTATTCGAATAACGAATATTCGAATTTACAATAATCATATTAATCATTTTAACTAGATAGATACTTTTCTGGCTCTGTTCCATAGTATCGATCACCAAAGTTTCCAATTCCAGACAGAACGTGAAACTTTTCATTTATTTCAGGGTCAACAGCTGACGTAACAGCAAATCTATAAAACTAAAAGTACAATAAGTAATTTTGCATTTAAAATGAGTACAAGTTAATGCTCATAGATGGAGCCTACAGGCTACAACACGTAGAAAATGAACTGAGTTCAGAGTACAGAGATCCAAAATGTCAATATCGTATTAGCTATAATTAAACAGTTGAACTTTATGCCTATTATTATGTAAAAAAATAATGACACAAAAAGACATTTTGTCCAATCAACTGGTCTTGGCGATAACTAGGTAGATAGTTAGTTATGCTTTTTCTAAGTAGGTATTTATGAATGACAGTAAAAATCAAGCACAGTGGAAATTGAGTATATTAATTATTGATGTCTCAATTAGGAAGGTCGCAGGTTCTTATAAATTATTTTAAACACAAGTAAATAAAATATACTCATTCGTTGTAAAACTATAGGCATAGGCGCAAATACGGGGGGGGGGGGCTAGGGTGGACTAAGCCCCATAAAAAAAAAAAAAGTTTTTCAGCCGAGTCTGCAACCTTTTAAGAGCATTTTCATGTCTCGTTGAAGTACCGAATAAATTTAGAGTAGTGGTGGAATTGTAGAAAATGTAATAGTATATTAAGTATCAGTAACAAACTAGTATATTAAAACATCAAGTTTCTGGCTAATATTGTAGTGTTTAATATCTGGCTTAAAACAATTCATAGAGAATTTGGGCCCTTAATTTATTTTGAAATTATCATTTAGTTCTAATTTGAATGTTGAACGTACAACATATCTCTTATCTCTTACCCTATCACTCAACCCCTATCTCCTACCCCTATCTCCCACCCTTATCTTCTACTCTTATCTTCTACCCTATCTCCTATCCCTATCTCTACCTATCTCTACCTATCTCACCCTATCTCCACCCCTATCTCCCACCCTATCTCCCAACCCCTTATCTCCTACCTCCTGTAACGCTTTTGTAAAGAACGCTTTTTTCGGTGATGTGCCAGAGCAAAGACATGAAAATGTCAATTAGGTTATGCATACAATTTTAAAATACAAAAATATATTTACTTATATATATAATTTTAAAAAAATTCAAGCCCCCCCCCCAAGTTCAAAATTGAAATTGCGCCTATAGGTCGTAAGTACAAATTTTAAAATGTACATGAAATTCAGTAATCAATATATACCTACACACTTCACATTATACAAGGTTTTTTAAAATGTGATTTACACATTAAACATTTGTTTTATATTTATTATAGGTAAGTACACCATACATATAGTACTATAGTAGGAAAGTTATCGTTAATTCATACACTAAAAAAACTAATAATTTTTTAATTTCGCATCGAACCTAAGGTAATTCAATGAATTTTGAATTTCTAGTAATCTTTCAAGGAGATATTTCACGTGAGAGCTGTGGAGCAAGATGGCTATAATTAGTATTACCCAAACTCGGCCATTAGTGCGTTAAGGAAGGTTTTCCTAGTCACCAATAAAGATCTGTAACATGAGGTGATCTGTGACCTCTGATTTTTGACGGAGTTTGTCGAGTAGCATGTTAGAATGAAACGAGAAATTATAAAACTATGTTTTGTTACATACATTAATATTGTATTTCGTGTACAAAATTTACTGTTTATTTTAAATTAAAAAAATAAAATTATGTTTAGTTATATTTAATATTTGTTTAACAATTTATTTGCTACATAAGTATTGACGAAGGGTTTGGCATACGGACTTAAAGTGTACGCTTGGTGAGGAAATGGAACTTCTGTTATATAATGAACATCGATAACATTTGGTAGTTGTTTAATCAGCCATTTTACATCCTAAAAAATAATATTTCAACCTTGTAATAAATATAAAATTATGCGATTCTTTAGTTTGTAATAAGTTGATAAACAAAGATAAAATGTTTTAAAACAATAAACAAAACATAATACTCTGCATAATACCAACGATTTGATGTTTCATTATCGTGATATTTAAAAGGTGTTTATATATTTTTTTGAAGCTAATATGTTTTTATGATTTATTATTTAAATAGTCATACATTAAAAATATTAGTTATTGCCATAAGTTACCTTGGATGCTGATACTGTGTCAGACTTAGAGTGTACGATAATGGTCGGAGCTGCCACATTTGATAAATTATACTCTGCTGGTGTAGTCGAGTTATAATGTTTCAAATTTCCATCTCGTCCGTAATCGTATTTCCGGAAATGTTCTAAAAATTAATTTACCCGTTACAATACAAAACAATGATACTACAATCTACATATTATCCGTTTACATGAACATAATTAAGCGTCCAAAATTTGTTCTTTATTTTACTTTTTTCAAGTGTAATTTTAGTCTTATTATCTTAAAATAAGATTATAAAGGTCTAATGTGACCCTTTAATACTACAATTATTTAAAAACCGGTAGTCCAATTTTTTGATTAAAGAACATCCCCAAAAAACTAAGAAATAAATTGCAAGCACAGTATTGATATTTAATATTTTTGTATGATACACACAGCCACATTTTTTTGTTTAATGTTATAGTACTTAAAAACAATACATAAATTCATTTAAAAATATGTATATAAATCCCTCTACGTGTATTAAAACTACAGCAAATCGCTAGAGCACTAAACTACATTAATTATACTAATTTTTCTACACGTGTAATTCAGAATACTATAAGAATTTAAATAGTTATGCAGTGGTTTTGTTGCAATAATAATAATTAACCTTACCTAAATATTTTATCATTTATATAATTGCAGAAGAGCGTTTTTTTAAGTGATATTATCACTTAGTTATTTTAATTTCTAAGGACCTGAGACCTACCCGGCCCATTATATATGTTCCGATCCCTTAATGTCCCGACCTAACTAGGTCGGCTTTTATTATATTTTATTCTACCTTGAACATTTTTATCAATTTAAGTATCAATACTTTTAAATTATACTTGAATAAGTAATACAATATTTTAAGAAACTATTCCCCACAAACATACTCACTTGAATAGGCAAACTGAAAGTATTGTCTCAGAACTTTAATTGATGTGGGCTGTGGGTAACTACTCAAAAACTTTGGAGCATCCTAAACAAAGTATAAACGTATTAAGATATAAATGTTGTATGTTAATAGTATAATTTTGTTTTATATAAATCATATAATGTTATATAACACACTTACGTCAACAATTGGCGAATATACACCTTGGATATTGTAGGCTACAGAAAGACATATTTTTTTAAAAATCATTGAATCACATAATTTCCCAGCTAACTGATTGTCCGGATCAACAAATCTGGGTACATATTTTAATGTGTAGGCCAAATCCTTAAAATAAATACCATGATAAATGGAGAATAGTACGAGCTGTATTTTTTTTGTAATAATATGATTTATTTTAAGCTAAACAGTTGTCTTGAAATTATGCTATTAATTAATTTACTATAATAGGAAAATAATATTTAATAATGGTTTTTACCTACCAAAACCTTTGGTGGTATCAATTTTAACGTTATTAACCGTTTGTCAAAGTTTCTCATTCTAGATGTTGGTGCTATCAATACTAATCGATCGATTTTATTGTTATACTGTGGTTTTTCTGATAATCCAATTAAGGCTATCGTCCCTCCAAGAGAAAATCCCACTAAGTCTACTTTAGGGTATCCAGTTTTTTCTAATACATAATCAATGACCACCGTCATGTCATATTTAGCTAACTCATCCATACTAAAAAAAAAAGTAAAGGTAACAAAAATAAATAGAACATATTTTATAGTTTTGTTGCTACTGTTCTATTATCACGACTACCAAGTTAATATTGTACAAATACATATAAAAAATATCTAGACGTATTAAATAATGATAAAGATTATATTCTGATTGATAGATGAACCAGTTTTTTATTTATTTATTTTGTTTTATCTAAGTTCAACAATACAATTTTTATTTTCAATAAACGTAGGTATTTAAAGTAGTTTTATTATTTTACTTGGACTAAAAAATAATCTGAAAATCCTGTTATTCTTAATAAACCGACTAACCAGGATTTGAATATTCGGATATTCCAGAAACCTGGATTTGAATATCCGGATATTATAGAAATCCGGATTTCAGTCAATTTTTAAAATATAAATATGGGGGCATATAATAATAGTCGTTTAGATAGTTGTTTAGAATTATCACATTGAAAAAAGTTGAAATTTCTTTAGCACAAATATAAAAAACAAACTGAACATAAAGCCAGCACAATAAGAAGTTGGCACAATGGTGTCGAAGGTTGATGGTTTCAAGTAATATACTTGAAAGACTTTTTGTCTCATGTTTAAATCACTGTCAATGTTTTAATGACATTTTTTAAACAGTATTAAAACGTATTCATTTATTTTTTTAAGGAACCCATTTGGGAATATAAGTGATATGATATGATCACTACATATATAAATTATACAAAATTAATAAAATAGTTGATTATGTTCAGGTTTAACCATCTTTATACGGTAGTCGCAAAAAATAAAAAACAACTTTTATAGTATATTTATGGAACACATTAATTCAATTAAACTATTATCATATTATTCGTACTAAAAATATTCTTTTGAATGCTTACCCAAAATCCCAAGAAACATTTTTCAGTTTTATAACTTTGCCAGTGGTTGGATTTTTAATAAATTTTGAAATGCCCAACAATCTGTAGTTGAGTAGCCAAACGTCAAACCCCGCATCGGCCAATACAAAACCTTTATTCCACCAGAAAATATTTAATATTTTTAATAAATAATTTTATATATTTGTGGTAAGATGACACTAAATGTCATAGTCTTATATGTTATAACTTATAGTCTTGATATATGTAAGTATACATTTTATCATTGGTTAATCAATAGTTGTATAATGGATATTACATGTTTGTAATAACTGAAGCTGATTCTGGATTCATTTCACTTTCATCTACTTGAACAGTCAAATTGTATTTTACAACCACAAGCATTTGCTGGCAATGTTTGTAATATAAATGGTTTCTTACGTATTCAATGGCACAACTAAAAGGAGCTAGGGAAATTCAGACCCTCTAAAAACAATCCTTAAAGCTTTCTCAAAATTTAGTAAAAACCGTAATCTACGCTATGTCTAATTTGTTGCTGGCAGTTTTTTGAGAGCCTGAAGGATTTCAACTTCTCTAGCTCACCCTCCTCCATTTTTAATTGCGTCATTGTATGTATTAGTATAATTGTTTTATTTAGTTCATACAAAACCCATTTATATTTTGAGAAAAATAACTTACCGAGCGAATCATTGTTCACCACAAATTGCATCGAGCTGCCGTACAAACCGGGCAATAAAATTACGGGTTTGCCTTTGGTTTTATTTCCATTATTTTTATGTGGAATTCGCTCGATGCCTATCATGTAATTATCTTCTGTTTGAACATTGTGAATCTCCAATGGATAACCATATGCATTAATACGGTCGGCCTTAATGTTAAATAAACACAAACACATTTTAGACTGTATAAAACGCATTCTGTGTAGCTTTATAATTATATTTTAAAAACATTGGAGCTAGACCTACAGAATTATGTATTCGGTGCTAACGCGTTTTTGCTCAAAACTATGCCTTATGAAAAAGAGATAACGCCAAGTAGAGTAATTCGATTTGTGATATATTTTTTTTGTTGAAAATAGGAAGATTTAGAAAGAATGCAATATGCATTGGATTTTGATTTTTGAATAAATAACCAAACACAACAAAAAAATTGGTTAAAAAAAACTAGTTATATTCAAACTTTTATTATAATCTAAAAAATGTAATTTAAAACATTAATGGTCGAGTTTGCACTGTATGAAATATTTCTCTTTTAAATCCGACCGTTCTCTAACAAGCATCCTCCTTTTTCCTATAAATTTGTTCACTAAAATTGCTATAACTCATACGAAAAATGTTAAACGTTTGAATATCTTGAGGCTATTACGAATTAATTACAATACTAGTTGATGTGATAAAAATTTACTAAAACAAGGTTTTTATCAAATATTTCCTATATTTGTCCCCTTAACAAATTACGAACATTAGTACCCGTAGTAGTACATTCAGTTCTATTTATTAGACTTAAAATTGTAATTTGGAGATTTTTTTAAAATTAATTTACAAAACAAGACACAAAAGTAATTGTAAAACAACAAAAATTTGTATATACTATTATATTATAATTACTCACAGTTTGAACAGATGAAACAAAATATTTTGCATTGAATAAAGTAAACGCACAAATAAATACATCTTGAATTATGAACTTATGCATTTTATTTATTTGACAAATTAAAACATATACTAAAATTTACTAAGTCGATTAACAAAATAAATAAAAATGTATATTAATTTAAAAAAATTAGAAAAATAAGTACCTACTTTACTGGTAACAATTTAGACAAGTTAATATAAATTCTTAGAAGTTTTTATTATTAATACAATGAAGCTTAATAAACATGAATGAAAAATATATATTGACTGTATCACCATTAAAATTTATAGGTATTTAAAATGAAAGAATTTAGCAACTACATAGTACACGTGATTTATATCCATACAAATTGGGTATTAAATATTAATACTTAATAAGCAAGCAAGGTTAGTATGCAATAATACATTACAAGAATAAAACTACTTTGGTAAAATTATATTTAATTTTATTTTGTCGTTAAGTTGATTTCACATTAATAAAATTTACAAATTATAATAAAGTAAATATGAAGTAGCGACAAAGCATTTTAAACAAAATTAGCAACTAATAGTAACAATGACACATATTATTGGTATACAATAACGAATTGATTTCTTAAATTTATTGTATATTTAATGGAGAACTGAAAGATTTCTTAAAATTCTTTTACAATTAGAAATACAAACTAATGCATATTTAATACATTTTACATACTCTAAGCACGTAATACAAAATAAGATATTTTCACGATCACAGCTCATTAATTAAATCAATAGAGTTATCAAGAAAAATGTTTGTTAAAAAATAATAATTTATTAAGAGGATACTTTCCTTTTTCTAACCGAATTTTCATGTGTGTCGTCTAACAAAAAGTGTGCTATAGGCAAGTTCACGAGTTCCTTCATATCCGGGCTAAGTGAAAAGCTCAAATGGCCGAACAGAACGTTGTCAATATAGTACACGTACTTCACATTTGGTAAATTGTTTACTAACCATTTGACGTCCTGAAAATACAATTTTTATAATATTAAATACGTCGGGTATGACATTGGAAATGACAATGCGATAAATGCTTAAGAATTACTGTGATTAATAACACTGTGGAGCACGAGTTCATTGTTCATCGGTTTTCAGTGCAATTACCTTTTATAATATAAGTACACAAATAACTAATTTTTGGAATATGCGTATTTACTCACTTAAAATTTGTTTTTGATATCAGGATAATTATTGTAAATGAAAATTCTATGATTACATTAAAAATGAGGTTTTAAATACTTTTGTGTGATTTATACGTTAGTTTTTAAGGTAGAAATTAATAAATTTTTAATTTATTTATCGGAAATCAAAGTTCACAAATTCATCTAGTAAGATTACTGGTATTTAGAATTTAGATAAATTTAACAAATCAAGCATATTGATTTGTAAAAGGGCTCATGTTTAAAATATACTGACCGGCATTTTAAATCATAATCATAATTGAAACATATTAAATTCCAAAGATAATAAATTAGCTACAGGTTTGCGATAACAATGATTTTATCGACTCCAAAATAATTTAAAACGCAAAGTTCATAGACAATATGAACTGGACGGGTTATAATGATAATTTAGTAAATAGTAATTAAAAGTTACCAATGGAGAAACTAAAGTATCGTCTTTCGAGTGTATCACATATGTCGGAGCAGTAATTTTGGATAAATCGTAATCCGGTGGTTGGATAGTACCATAACGTCTCATGTTTGCGGCAGGGCCAAAATCATAATGACAAAACCTCCCTAGTGCAAAACCAATATTACACCGTTAAGACAAATCACTTTTATTTATATAATATTTTTGAAACTGAACGTAACGCAATATCTACGCATTATTAACTGTTGGTGTAGTTAAATATGACATAGCAATAAAAACATTACTAAACATTTTCTTATACTACTATCGAAACTTACCGGACATCATTAGTTGAATATAATGTTTCAGTGTTCGAGACGATACAGGTTGTGGAAATATTGACAGAATATTCACCACGGTGTCCTAAAATATTTTTAATGATCAATATTAAATTTGTACAAATTATTCACATTGAGTCGCATATAAAGTAACTAATATAAGACTTGGATTATCGGTAGATATTAACCAAAATGATTAGCTATAAGTTCAGTATGAGCAGATTATCCATTTCCAAGTGTATTAAATGAATAATTAAATGAAACATCAGTGTTTTAATAAAAAAGTTTTAAAATTTAGCTCACTCAAAATCAAACTTATTACTTTAAATGCATGTTTTGAAGGTTGGGACGAATAAAATGAATTTCACAGAAAGTGGAAAGCGAACTTGATATATTTCAGGTTTTTATTCGAAGCTCTATTTAATACTATATCAGATAAGTTAGGTTAGGTTGGTCTGAGATCATCTTCTCATAAGTAACATTTTGGACCGCGACCCATAAAGTAATGCGTTAAATTCCAAAAATGAAATTTCTTATTGATACATACGTTACTTAAAGGAGTGCTTATACCGTGAGCTAGATCGACGAACCATTTACATAGTTCAAAAACATTTTTTTCTCTGCAAATGTTACCGATCATCCGATATGTCGTGTCTGGATCTTCAGTATAAGGGAAAAAGTTGACACCGTTCAAAAACACCTATAAATTTATATAAAAATGTTTAAGTATTACATTGATATCTACGCATTAATTTTCAGTTTTTCATGCTACATATTGCAAATATATAACAAAAACTGCGTATGTTATTTGTGTAATTAGTTAAACAAATATTTAAATGGACTAATATTTACCGTAATTAGTCTTGCGTAACGCCTAACCATGGTAAGCGGCATGCCTAACTCCTTCAACCGTGACGTCGGTGCCATTAGAACGAGCTTGTTGATTTTATCATTGTACTCTGGCCTATCCGAAAGACCAGCCAGAGCCATTGTGGTACCAAGAGAATAACCGAGAATGTCAATTTTAGAATATCCAGTTTCATTTAAAACGAAGTCAATGGCTGTTGTCATGTCTAAAACTCCCATTTCATGCCAGCTAAAATGTAGTAGTTCTAGTTGTAGTTTTATCATTAACAAAATTAATTATAAATAACAATACTAATGAAAAAAAAAATAGGTTTTAGTGGTCGTTGACGTACAAAGAAGGGGAGGTTAGGTAACATACCCCCAAAATACCGGCCACGCTACTTATTTCAGAATCGCACACGACACAATTAGCTAAGAGAATTTTCGCCAATGACATTTAGGTCATAGGAGCAAGCAAAATACAGTTATTCAAACCCCTCATAATTTAGTTCACTATAGACTTTATCTAGTCATCGATAAATTAACTACATTTCACCACATACGTGATATCTAGAAATAGAAAATGTAAAATCGGTGGCATGTTATCCTGTGAAATATTACGATTTTTTAATCGGTTAACACAAAGAATAATAATTACAATACAACTATAATACATTTATAGGTTACCATTTAAAATTTGTAATCGGTAATAATAAAAGTTAATTTAAAAAATAATGAATTTTTAATTATTTCCTAAGAATTGTGACTTGCTAGTTGTCTTTTTTTTTATAGTTGGTAGATTAATAATATTATTTAGAATTCATTATTTCTATTTTATGCACTATCACAAAGTTCTAAAGATTTAAAAAGCTGAGGAAATATTGAATAGGACGAAGAAAAACAGCAACTATTGAAAAATAATAAAACTGAAGAAGGACAAGATGATAGGACAGGATATATTATAACACGATGATTAAATAAAAACAATAATAATGCGGAAGGCTACGTTAAAAGAGAAAGGTCAAGGGTAGAGTACACAAAACAAATTACGAAATATATAGACAAGGAAAGTTATCAAGATTAAAGTGCAGCTACAATTGGCAGGCGTGGAGAATTGCATCAAACCAAATGATTGGCGGCAAAAAGAAAAATGGAACCACTTCTCTTACCTAAAATCCCAAGATATCTTGTTCATTCTAGGCGGTGCTCCGTCCCTAGCATAGATGTTTAATGCTCTGGATAAACCTAAACCTCTAGCGTTGAACAACCATACATCAAAACCAGCATCCGATAAAACAAAACCTAAAACCAAAGTATTCGTTTACATAAAGTAAAATTATATTATTGCTCTAATTATTATAACACTACAATTCGACGGTTTTGTGAGAAATGAAAAGTGAAAAATTAAAGTTTTAAGAAAACGATAAAAACGTTTAATTTGTTAAAAAATAAATTCTTATATATATATATATTAAACATTTAAAGACTATAGATAAATTTGTTTATATAATGTTTTTAACGTCTCTTGAAAATTATAAATTTTGCACTTTTCATATTTTTTAAATTAGATCATTATAAACTCAACTAAGAGAGGAAGAGTTTAATGTGAATATAACTGAGCTTAAAAACAAGCCATGCAGTAGTAAAACGGGTCTGCCGATTGTTCCATTTCCATCTTTGCTGTAAGGGATTCGTTCCAATCCCAACAAATATTTATCGGGAGTCCAAAATTTATAAGTTTTCAATGGATATCCATGTTCTCTGACTTGGTTAACCTAGAATAAAACAAAAAAAAATTAATATGAACTTAATTTATTTCTTACATGTTTCAGCAACTTAAATGGTCTTAAAACCGACGATTATAAATTTATCGATTACAAATATTTGTATTTATAAATAATGTATAGATATGTATTAAATCAGTTCAGTTTAGTTTGAATTTTCTGTTTTATTTTCTAAAATGTACCTACAAACTATACAAAAAGAAAAATGATCAATTTAGATTTTTTTTAATTTTATATCTTATACCTACTAGATATTCCAAACACATTTTTACTCCATCCGAACGTTTGATGTAGATTTATCAAAATAAATTAAGACTTGATAGTTTTGAAAAACAGTTAAGGATTTTTACTCTATTTGCGTGGAGAAAATTATTTATTTAATTCACAAATAAACTTTTTAAAATTATAATAGTAGAGATTAAATAATCTCTACAATTTTAAATTACGATTAAATAATCATATAGAACGATTATTAAAAGACGAAAATGTTCACCATATTTAATTAAGTATTAAGATTTAAGACTTAATATGTCCTTAGACAAGGAACTTGACAGACCAAGAGATTCTATCGCGTATGTCTCAATGAAAATAATTCTTGATTCCGACATTAGATTAGAGACCTCTTTATATTTCAACCTAACATAGTACCATTAATAAAGATTAACTGACTCTGTTATTAGTTTTGTTTGAAACTAAAATCACCAACTTAAAAAATGTCCGAATTTGCGTTACGCCCAGTCAAGGAAGTATTACAGAATGACCTTATTCTCCCTATCAAAGAAGATAATTATATACATTAGTACGCATATGAGATGACCAATAACAGCTTTTCCAAATATTCCATTATTTTACATACTACTACAAATTTGCGTAGTATATAATTTATACTAAGAAATATTGCTAAGATCTTTCGGCCGATTTACAATGACTGAAATTGAGATGAAAAAAAACTGTTAAGAGTTAAAAACAATGAAAATAAAAGACATCGACGAGCTGGACATGAGTGGAAAATAAAAACAAGATCTTGCGGCCGGTTTTGGAACAGAACCCAATAGCAAATAAACCATTTAAAAAACCACGTATGAGATGTGATGACGTAAGGGGTAGTAAAGTATGGAGTAGATCGATTGAAAGAATCTAGCAATGGTGACATAGTGAACTGGAGGATCTACCGTTTTTTTTCCCATCTATTGAGACTTGAGAGTACTTACAAACGCTATTTTGATTGAGTACACTTGTTTTTGTGTTATTGTGTTTTGAATGTTACAAAAACCACTAGGACAAAAATATCTAAGAATTATCAAATAAATTATTTTGATTTCAGTTAGGTTAGATAGAGGACGTGTTTACTCCTAATATGGGTCACCAGGATTTCGTAGCTGATAGTGAATCTTACATTCCCCTCAACGATGACCATAGCTAGTATAAAACAGATCGACGACAAATATCGCGCATCTATTTTAACCAAATGTAAGAGATCATTATAAACCAAATTATTTTTGACCAGCACCAGTAAATCTAAAAATACCTTATTTATTCAAAAATTAATTACACCAAATATGGAACATTATCTTTCAACGACAAAAATAGATAAAAATAGAAATAGTCATTTTCAATTGAATGAAATATTTCAGGGAATCCAAAGAGACCTCTTAACGGTTATTTATGGGTAAATGTATCTCCTTACTACGAATCTATAATATCAGTTTTCTATACAACGAACAAACGGCTAAATAGCAAAGTTGTTTATTTCTAGTTGTGTACAACTACATTATAGTCGCAATAATTTGCCGATAATACCAAATAATATCAAATAGTGTCGTTGACCTGTACACGATATTACTGTTTTACTAGTTGTTTACAATCAGTCAATATGTCGAAATGTAAATGTTTATCGGTTGTAGATCAATTATAAAACACCTACCGACGGCGATTTTGCGGAGGACATACAAAAAAAAAAAAGAAGTCAATTCTGGATAGAATGATATGAAGGCGAAGAGGGACAACCAAAACCCACAGAAGAATAAATATTGAATGCATTTAATGTGGTTAACACATCTTTTGAAAAAAACTACCATCTATAAAAATACTAAACAATCAAAACTCACTGAATATTTTGATTAGAATAAACACACAATACATGTTTATACTTTAAAATTAAGTATTGTATTCGATAAAATAACCATTACACATTATTTAATGAACATCTCTGTATAAACATTTTTTTTTTGTTTTTCTAGTGACTAGTCACTTGGTAATATAGGAAGTTCCACTGCATACGACGTATAAGTTTTAGATTTTTACAAATAAAAAGTGAACTTGGGGAAGGCATAGAAAGTATTATTTTTACAATTGTTTAATAAATGTGTAATAAAGTGTTACGATATTTTTTTGTTTAGAACATTGTACGATTTTTAAAAAATAAATTTTTATAAAAAAATTAAATTTCTTTTTTAAAAATAATGATGTTTTTACTTTTTATATTTGTAACTATATAGCTATACGTATTTCTAAACAATAAATGGTACAAATAGGTGTCCGGTTTTAAAATTTAAATAAAATGTCTCCTAAATTATTTAAAAAAACTATTCTCGCTGTATTATAAAAAAAATAATAAACTAAAATATTCCTCATTACATTTAATTATAACGGTTATGTATTTAAAAATAGACAAGCTATTATACATTTTAGAACTTGAGATGTTTAACATGTATTTTTTTATTCTAAATATATTATAAGCAATCCTTTCAAGGTTTATGTACTTACGTCAATAAACGAGGTATTTAAAAAGTCTTTTTTTATCATAGTCATCATTATTATCATTACACTCATTACATTTTTTTTTGTCGTTGTTTCTAAAGATTTCAAAACCACGTCAGAAATATTTCCGGTAATATTATTAACATTATTAATAAACTAATTGCAACAATATAATACTATGCTAGTAATAAAGGTAATTTTTATCCATCATATTGTAATATACTCTACAATACATAGGTATAGTAATAATAAGTACCGAAAAACTGGGTGACTCGAAACACTGTGCTATATAGTAAACGTATTTTTAAATAATTTGTTAAGCTACAAAAGACTGAATTTACTATTTTTCAAATTTATTGCATATATATTTATGAAAAACTAGTGTAATTACTAATTGTAATTATTTATTCAATATAGCTATTCCAAATGTGTGTGTCAAATTACCCAGTGATAAAAAGTTACATATATAACATTATGACTTGATCCGATTACTTTCAACATAAGTTGTGGTATGTCAAAAATAAAAATTGCAACTTTCTCAAAACAAAAAATTGTTTAGTTCTTTTAAATCAATCTGAGGTGTATATTTGGTACTAAATAATAGTGACTTAAGTTAAAAATATCGCAGAACTTACTAACACAACAAAATATCAATATTAAAACTCAAATATCAATTACACACTGAAGTTAAAAACCTAGCAAAATTGAGACCAAATTTTGCTTACACGCTAGTTATAATTATTAAGTATAATTTGAAATTTTCTAGTAACTATTGTTAAGAATGACATCCGTTTAGATTAGCTGTTATAATCCTATTACATTCTATAATGTTTACGTTATGAATCTATCGAAGTTAAAGTGTTTTCAGCAGTATGTTAGAGGTTAGATTATTCATTTCATATGAGAAAATCGTAAAAATAATGCAAGTTATTTAAGACCACTCTCTTATATGTAAAAAAACAAATTTTTAAAGAAGAAACAATGTCATACATTCATTTTTTTCACGCCACAGAGCACCACAATCCACATATACCTATAGTATATTATACTATATGGTTATGTTCAAAGAAGAATGTACTTTGTTGTTAAAATAGGATAGGGTATCAAAAACATCTTTTACGTTTATTAACTTTAATTGACCATAGACCAGAGACTAACTATCTATTTTACAGGATTTTTCTTATTAAATCAAAATAAATAAATATTATTTTGGGTAGCACGTCCAGTTTATCTACATTAAGTACCTATGGAATCTTTTACTGTTGGAATATTTAACAACGTTTGTTATAAAATATATTTTTCTACTGAATACTGAACTGGTCTTGGAATCAGTGAAACATTTTCATTTTTCACTAAAAAAAAGGAAAAAATGCTGGAATACAGATTAGATACATATATTATATCGGCAATTTATTTGAATGAAAAAATATTAATAGAAATTTTGTATTTATGTTGTAACACTATTTCAGCTTTACATAAAATCTAAATTCGTATATTAATTTTGCTATTTTATAAAAAAAAATTGTATACTCGTTTTTCATTTAAATCCTAGTTACTATAATAGTTCTGGAATGAAAATTAAACAAATTAATTTACATTTTACACTGAATAATACAGTCTGTATAATAATACAATATATATAAATTGACGGATACTTACAGTATCTAATGAAAAAACAGCAGCTAGGTTGACGCTGAGTACCGTTATGAATATCGACAGAAAACGTGTTCTTGAATAGTGGTTCTGATGGCATCGCATTTTTATCGGTTGTAGGTATAAAAAATATGTAAAAACACACTTAACAGTTAAAAAATAACCATATAAAAAATAAGTCGGACACGGCTAATCCTCTGCGGCGCACAAACTTAGTACCTATGCCGCTTGCCGCGTGTCTTGTTCTTTTTTATACCTACCGAAGTGGGCACACAACCAAGTACTACTGTATTAGCGTGTTTTCGGTATAATATTTAAAATCCTATGGAATCATACTACATGGGGTATTGACTCAAACAACTGATTTTGTGTACACGGCTATCCTCGTGAACAGCGTCTGTGGCAGCCAAGGTCAACCTGGTCACTTCCTCAACCTGTGTAGTACGCTGATAGATTATTCGAAGAACAATAATAACAACAACAACGGACATTCATCACAAAAAAAAAACAGCGGTATTTACCTAGTCTGCATTTAATGCGACATCACGGTGAACCTATTAAACAGCGAGTACGTTCAATTGCCTAATTAACAGCAAACGTGTAAGCTGTAATGTATAAGTAGCTGTATGCGGCAACAGTACCTACAGAAAATGCACACCGCGGTCGATTGCTTTTACAATTGACGTCAATGTATAATAGACTTTAACACTCTCAAATTCGTATCTTGTCTGGTCGTATCATATCACTCATATGGCATACCTATGGCTAAGCCCAAGCAGTTTGAACTAGTTAAAGAGAAACAGGGAAGTGAAATTGAAAAGTTAAAACCGTTGTAAAAATATACAGCATAGAGGGATTTAGTATTATGAGAGATACTACTAGAGATGTAGATGAAAAAAGAAATACCTTCGTAAATCGGATTGTGAGGTCGTGTAGAATTGAGTACTTGAAATTGTAGAATTGTAGCCTGTAGGTACATAAAAATAAGATAATTTAAAAAAACACCGTTTTATATAAAAAAAAATGCCAACGCAGTGGGGTCAGGACACTATGTGTATGTATGTCCTCACTAACAAATCATAATGAGGTCGAAGAGTTCACAAGTCTTTAGAAATTATTTTAACTGAAAGTATTAAAATTATTTCCAAATAAACTGTTCGATGTGAAGCTGAATATTATAAAAACTATTCGATATGAGTAATTTTATAAAGAAAACAAATACCTATGTATCTAATGTGGTTATTATTAGGTTATTTAATTTTTTCAGTTGTGCAGTAGAGCAATTAAAACGTGCAGTAGACTTCACAAATATGCGCACTTGAGAAATAAGTAGGTATTATATATTATAAAATATAGCTTTACCCAATTAAAATTTTTGTCTTATAAAGTAATAAGGCATTTTTTTATTTTAATATAAATTTGACATTTTTTAAGGTAGTAGGCTACTTATATTCAACAAATTTCTTATAAGGACTTAATATACAAAATACAATATGCTTTTTTTCTAGTAGACTCTAAATATATTTTTATGATAAGCACCTAATAGTTCACATATTTTTGGGGTGTTATTTTATAAGCCACTATAATGATTTAATTCATCTTTAAGAGAACGCCACACGTCCGTGTTATTCAAAGCATAAACTTGGCTATTTTTTTAACTTTTCTATTTTAGCTTTGATGAGTAGCCCAGAATGTATTGTTATTACAATTTAATTTAGACCGGCGGTAGATCTAGAGTAGGGCTATAAAATAAACAATTTTCTCAAATCTGTAGGTAGTCAAATTGTTTTTGTTGAAGGAAAAACCAAAAAAAAGGAAAATTATACTTATAGGTACCGTACTAAATTTCTAGGTTGTTGCTATGTGAGAGTCAATAAATAGTCAACAAGTATCTGAAAAAATAATTGCATTATATGGTTGATATGATATTGTCTGGCATTAGTAATAATGGCAACTAACCTAACCTAACCCAACCAACCTAACAGAAAATAAAACGAAATATTATACATCATTTTTGCCTTTATATTGATTTTTAATACCTACTATACCGTTCGTAGATTTCAAAATACAATTTTTAATTCAAGTGGCATACCATAAATAAACATTAAGAGGTTTCTACGCCAAATCATAAACCATCTGGCTTGTTAATCAAATAACGGAAATATTGAATAGGTACTTTTAGCTAGAAATTATAAACTATTACGATTGAATTTAGTTTTCTTTTCCAAATAATTCATACCTTCTTTTAATGACTACGAATTATTGTTTTGAAAATTACAGGGTGATTGGTTAACTATGACCCAGTCAATATCTCAGAAGATATTAAACTTTTTTTTATACTTTTATAGTTAATAGTTCACCCAATTTTAATCAATTTTTCGATATATAACTAATAGTTTTTAGGGATTCGAATTTAAACAAAAATATTATCAGTATTATATTTTAATTTATTCAGATAATGAATCAGGATTTAAGTATCCAGACAACATTGAAATCCGTGTTGTTTTCTTGCATCAACTAACTCCATAGATACTTATCAAAAGTAATGATTACATTTCTTAGTACTAGTAATTATTCGAATAGACAACTGAAGTCCGAACATTGAGTGTACTTAATTGTTTGACCGATTAACATATAAAATGTATCTTGTCAGATCGACGTGATAGGTACATACAGTATATTATGATTAATGAATAAATCTAAATATCTAATCGTAATAATATGATGGATGACTTATAAATACATCGATCACATATGCGTGACGTTTATATTGTTTACTCTGATTATCATAAAACAGAAATCAAATTAAAAAAAAATGTCCCAAGTTGGAGGGAATATGGAAAACAAGTTGTTGCTCACAATACCTTGTAAATCAATGAACTGTTTTACAAAACATTGTATAATACAATTTATATTTATATAATATATTAGTGTTTTTGGGTTAGGTTAGGTTTTAGGTTTTTGTTTTACAGACAATAGTTAACGGTCTTTACATTTTATTTCTTGAACGGGACTAGTCCTCCTTAAAAGTAGGTATAATGTAGGTTTGCAACTCCATAATGTATTAGAACGTAAGTAGGTCCAGAAATCAGTATTAAGTTCTAACGGAATTAAGTAATAGATTATATTCAAAATAAATAAAATACAATATATATATATATATACAGGATGTCATGGAATGTTCTACCCAGCTTCAAATGAGACATTTAGGATTCTCTATGGGTACAATAAATGGTATTCATTTTTGTTAAATTTTAAAATTATTTAAAATAGAATTCGTATCTCATTCAAAAATGGTCTAACAAAAAAAATATTTGCAGATTTGAAATCAGGGAAAAAAATCTTGTTAAATTGATATGTAACATGATTTTTTGGTATCTGGCCACACACGCGTCCACAGGGTGGCCGGCATGTCACTAAAACCAACATATGGCATGCGACATATCATTTAATTTAAAATAATTCTAAGGACACCACTGAATTGAGAATACAATTTTCTAATCCAAAATGATGTGTCACATGCCATATGTTGATTTTGATCACATACAAGTGCTTGTGCTTACTTAATGATTATCGAATTAAGTTATATTTTAATTATTAAATTTCATAATATTGCTGTAATAACAAAAACATACAACTTGTGTAAAATTAAAATATTTATTGTTAAAATATATTTCCGAATTGTTCAACTGTTGTCAGATATCGAAGAAATCAACTCCATTCTACGTTTCCTATTATCTATGACAATGCCATCCGAGAAGGTTTTACATGAAAATTACCTAGTATTTAGTACATTAAGTTATTAGTTCACATAAATTCCCCATACTAAATAAAAGTCTTTACACAGTTACTCAACAATTAAAAGCGTAAAAACATTACATGTTAGAGCTTTTAAATCAACAAATCGATTTGACTTGATGTATCTATAAGTTGTAATAAGAAAAAATTACCATCTAATAGTCATGATTTATTGTACACATATTATTTGTCATCGTGAATGTTAACATAACTATGTATAACATAATTCCTGGTTATTTCATCTGGGTTTAAAAGTACTAAAAGAGCTATACACAAACAAAATCTTATTAATTTCAAATAAATATAAATTTATTTTATTTTAAATTTAATATTTTTGTAGTTCTAATTGAAGGTACAATGGCAAGAAAAGAATAGCGGCCGTACTTCCAACTATCCATCCACAATTTCGTAAATAGTAAAGCAGCAAGTGAAAAACTCGTATTATTCAATTTTCTGTTCAAAAGTATTACATTAAAATTATTCAAATTGGAAACCTTTTATGTGTTTTTTTGCTTGGTTTCCTGCACAGTGTCAGTTAAACCCCACATTCTCTCTGTCCAAGTCTCGGGTTTCTACAAATGACCATTTTTAATCAACAACTTTAAGAGTGTAGACTGCTGTGTATTTCTATTCTACTTACAAACTCTTCACACGCTGACTTGTCGGTTCTTCTACCAATTTCGAAATTTAATTTTTAGTACAGACATATATATGTCAAGAGAAATGATTAAATAAAATTATAATTTAAAACAAATTGTGTATAGTAACAAGAAAAGTTTCTTTTATTTATATGTTTACAAGCAATTGATATAAACACCAACACTTACACAATAAGAGACAGCTGATAAGGTCACATAACAACAGTACATATTATACATATATATATGAAAGGCTCAGGGGAAAAACAGTAGTAGTCACATTATGAAATTTTTTTTTCAAATAGTTTTTTTCAATATATGCCATTAATTTTTTGTATTTATGTCAATAGATTGTTTAAATAAATATATTTGTTATTAGAATAGCATTTAATGTGATTTTTTTGTTCTTAGGTAAGATGGAGAGGAATTCACGAACTTTGTTTTTGCTATACTCAAAAATTTTCATAATGTGACTACTACTTTTTCCCTGTGTCCTTCATATATGAGAGTAAATATATATATATATATATCTGTTTGGGTTCTTTCAAATAATATTAGCCGATTAGTAGTAGTCTAAGGCCACAACAGTACTTCTAAGTTTTGTACTATTCAAATACATAAAATATTATTGTTTATACACATACACACCTATACATAAATATATATATATATATATATTAAACACAATTTATAACTCGTAACTAAATTTAACATTAAGAGAATCAAAGGTAAAAATCCACTGCTCAAAAGTAAATAATTTCAGTCCGCTTTTAATTATGTTAACGATAGCGGTTTGTTTTTTTAATAACTATAATTGTGTTTGCTATTTACAAATATGCAAAAAAACAAATAACATTTCTTTTTTTTAAGAGGAAAAAACAAGTTACAAAAAATATATACACACACACTGTAAAAACTGAAACTTAAAACCGTAAAACACATAAATTTATTTAAATAAAATTAATGCAATTAAAATTCAATATCGATAAAAAAAGATGCGAACCTTCAACAGACAATTAACCAATTGAGCAGTGAATGTAATATAATAATAATAATAATAATAATAGTAATAATAAAAAAAAATAATAATAAAAAATTACAAACAAACAATAATCAACTTTGCGAATATCACAACTGTTAAATCTAACTTCTACACATGATAAACAAATGAAATGTATACCTATTAAAAGACAAATATTATAATCAAAACAAATCTTAAACCTAACCTGTTCTCAAAGTCAATCGCTTTTCGGCTTTATTGTCCGACATTAAATTCATTAGATACCACTACCTAGTTATATAGGAACATACTAATGTGTTATTTAAAAAAAAAAAATGTTTATTTGCTTAAATTCTAAACTGATAACTATAAAAGAAAAAAATCAATATTTGGAACATTTATAAGAAGGTAATGATTATGTTAACCAGTTTGCATCATTGCATAGAATATTACAATATCATGCCATGACAATGTACTGGCAGATACTGCACATAGCTATATGTATAATACAAATACATATTCTTCGGTGCTCAGGGTTTTTATTACAGCATTAAGCTCATAAATAACTTACTATTATTATATTAATTGATAAGTAATGATAAATTTTTTTTTAAAAATTGTTGTGTCAATTGTTTACATTTTTAACTTTAAATTGATGAAGTAAAAAAATGAAGAAGAAATGACTAGACGAAGCCTAAGAGATATCTTTAGTGTGCACAAAAATTATTTGTTTTTAAAACAATATATATTATTAAGTTTCTTTTAAGTCTAATGACGGTAGTGGCAAAATATATTCTAATGATATTATCGTGTTAGATGTAGGTCATATTTGTCAAAAATATTTGGCGATCTTCTTAAATATTCAGTATTAGCACTTCTGATGAATATAATAGACTTTTCCAACATTGAGATCATAGCCTGAATGATGCTAACTAGTAAAGTGATCGTAATGGGTTGGTGGTGGTCGATGAGAAGAGAAAAGAGCGGGAGAGGGTTAGATAAAAATATCACATTAGCACTATTTAGAACTTTTCAAATCACTTTTTGGTCGCTATGCCTCGCTGTGTGAGTCCCTCGAACCGTTTAAATGTATAGTTGATAAACACCCAGTCTTTGTAAATCACTTCACCGTCTTGTGGAAGAGGAGCAGATGCTGGAAAAAAAAACCACCCAGTTATTATAATTACTGACTCAATATAAATGAAAAGCCATAGTAACTTTCTAATTTTGTAAAACACTTACGTATTTCGAGTTTGACATCAGGGAAATCGTCAAAGTTAGAGGTATCATCAATAGATTTTACTTGCACCGGAATGGCTGCTGGTCGCTCTCTAATGTGTTCCCAGTCAACTCCTCTGAAAAAACTTATTGTCGAACGCAGCTCGTCAATACCTCGGCCACTATTGCCTAGCCGCCGATCGGATTCGCAACAGAACCTAGTAATTGCATCACGTGCCTCTTCGCTGATAGGTACTTCGGCGGGGAAATTTAGCGTCTCTCGCCAGTTCATAACTTTCCTGTACGTTTCCTGAGGATTTTCACTACAGAACGGCGGATAACCTGTTACAACAAAGTTCAATTTTAATACTGGAATTTAGAATATTATATAACTACACAAGTATCGCATAATTATGTCAATAATTTTAAATTAATTGTAATCAATTGCATCAAGGTTATTTAATAATAAAACATGATAATAAAATTGAGTAGGCTAAAATCATAACATAAAAAAATCAAAAAACCATAGACAATATTTTTTTCAGAAAATGCAAAAAAATTGGAAGAGGATTGTTCTAAACAATAAGAAAAATCTATACTACATTATTTTGAAGTAGTTTGGACCGGAAAAATTTACCATCAAAATATACAAGTTGAGTCAATGAACCATTTTTTTTTTTTTTTTAGAATGAAATTTGGAAGATGTGAGTTTGATGGTAATAATTTACATGGAACATGTGAGTTTTGATACCAGAAGGTAAAAAATCAGATAAAACAAAAAAATTGTTGCTACGTTCACAAAATAAAAAAATGTTTTTTTTTTTTTGAATATCTTAAGATTATTCAAAATTTAAATCTTAATGGTTTCTCTTAAAATCTAATAAATATAAATATTTTAAAAATTATTCGGGTTAAAATAGTTCAGTATGAAAACTCTCACATGTTCCAGTGGAACTTGTTAGTTTTGATTCTACCATTAAGTATATATATATATTATGATTTGTATACTGACCTATTAGCATTTCGTACATAATAACACCAACACTCCACCAATCACACGCTGGACCATACCCGGTTTGTAAAAAGACTTCGGGTGCGATATAATCAGGCGTACCGACTGTACTGTAGGCTAGCGCTCGGCGATTTCTTTTCCAGCTCTCTGCTCGCCTTTTGCTGTCCATTGGATTCGAAGCTGTGGAACAGAAAAAACCTAATTTAAGTATGTCAGATGACCGGCTCTTTGACATCATTACACTTACTGAAGTCTGAGGGTTTGGCTTGACTGAGGTCCCTGTAGAAATCTGTTCGGTGTGATTTTTTGAGACCCGTACAAAGTCCAAAGTCAGATAATTTTATATGACCTCTAGCGTCCAACAGAAGATTGTCCGGTTTGATATCCCTGTATGAACAAAATGCAATGGAGTAATTAAACTATTATGCTTTTTGAGAAAAACACTTATTTAGAGCTTTAAATAAAAAATAATTAAATAGATTTATGTGTTTACCACAATAACATTAAACAATATTGGTGAAAATGTATTGTTATATACCCAGTAAAGAAAACAATCTTAAATTTAAAAAAAAACTATTGCAAAATAAAACAAACATTTGTTGAACGCTTTTGTTTTTATTGTTACTCAATTTTTCAAAAATGTATACACAACTGAATAAGTATTCACAACATTTGTTAATGAATATCTAAGGTAAATGATTTTCGAACAAATCTGAGATGCTGAAGTCAAAAATAGGACACAGTTTGGCATTGAATACCTTATATAAATACGGCAGGGTCCTATTTAGTTAAGGTTTGGTTCATAAAACTTTTTTAATACCGGGGAGTCAATATATGTTTAAACTTTAAAAAAAAAACTATCTGTATTACCTGTGTATGAATCCGAGCTTGTGAATAGAGTCGATGGCCAAAGCCGTTTCAGCAATGTAAAACTGTGTACACTCTTCGCTTAAAGTGTCCTTTTTCATGAGCAGTGTCATCATGTCACCACCCGGCAGGAACTCCATTATAAGGTAAAGGTTTATTGGATCCTAAAGCAGAAAAAACATACATACATGTAATTCAAGTCGAGTATTTGTATGTGTACATAAAAAAGTCCTTTGTTTATGTTGTATGACTACGATAGTAAGACATTTTTTTTAAATTTTTTATCATTCCTGTAGTTTATTAAACAAGTCGAGTATTTGTATGTGTACATTAAAAAAGTCCTTTGTTTATGTTGTATGACTACGATAGTAAGACATTTTTTTTAAATTTTTTATCATTCCTGTAGTTTATTAAACAAGTCGAGGGTAATTATTCAAAAATAAACACAGACACATGAGATTAAGAAAAAGGTCTAGAAGTGGTTACCTGAAAACTGTAGTACATTTTAACGACCCACTGATGATCTGCTTCGACAAGTACATCTCTTTCCGCACGAACGTGGGCTACTTGTTCCTTTTCAAGCATGTCCGCCTTACGAAGGATCTTCATAGCGTATATATGACCAGTGTCTTTTTTCTGGACTAGTCTTACCTAAAAACAATAGTTAAAAAAGTTAACCAACGACTTAAAACACTAAAATGTAATCAATTATTTATGCAGCAAACAATTAAATCGGTTTCGAAATTTATTTTGTTTTCACTAGTAGTAAGTAGTTTGTAAATATAAAACTACTCGTAAAATTTGTAAACAGGTTTTTATTTCCAACAATCTTAGTTCCCATTTCACCAGATTTTAATTCTGAAAAATTATTTTAATTCCTTATCATTTATTCTGTGGTTTGATGTGCCACTACTTCTTATTATTTGTTTTCATTGTAAAATCGTTTTTGTAAACATTTTTTTTTAAACTATTCTAAAATGTTGGCATTAATAACAGCTTAAAGCCGATAAGTTAAACCACAGAAGTGATGATGAGGAATTCAAAACTTTTTATCAATTTAAATCTTATAAAATACGACTTGGATTGATGACAATTCCAAGAGTCTATTTACGCCTAATTTTATCACAGTCGCAAGGCCAATAAATACAAAACGTAAAACGTTTGTAAATCAATACACTACGATCAGGTAATAAAAAAGTTTAAAAAAAAAAAGTAGGCTCTTTAGAATATTAACTATCGATTGTTGTGTCGACCTTGAAGCCCAAAAAGTACATATTAAATTAAAACAAAAAGAATTTGTATTGATACCGATTTATTTAAAATAATAGCAACACTAATGACCGTTTGCAACAACTATACTTAAGTTCTAGGGTAGTTTAACAAATACTGAAACTATCGGTTAAACTCTACATAAAATGTATGTATAGTTGGTGCAAACAGCCATAAATGCTTAAGCTAATGTATACAAGCTTTCAACAAAATGTACTTTGATAAGATAATTACTAATTAGTAAAACTATAATTAACTTAAATTTAAAACTTTAAAATGTATTATGCAAGCCCATGAAATAACTATTACAAATTATCACGTCATGCATAGTCGATTTTCTTATGTTTTCATACAGGTTTGACAATTCTTAAAAATGTTGTCACGTCTCCTCCACTTTGGCACACGTCCACCCACTTTATTTGTACCAACTACAAATATTTACTTTTACTAGCTTCTAAAACCCATGAAAAGGCCAAAAAGAAATCGATAACCAACAACAGGTACAGCCGTTAATGCGTAGCCCTAAAACTAAAAGTATGCTTAAATTTAACATTAGAATTTAATGTTATAATACCGACAGAAATAACGACAGACAAATTCCCCATTTTGGGACTGTACCAATCTATAAACATCAACTGCAGTTTACTACATACCTCTATTCGTTACTAGGTATGTTTAATTTATTAATAAATTAGCATTGTAGAATGTTAGATTTAAGAACGGACTAGACTAATAAAACGCGTCGAAAAAAGTTAAAATTTAGATGATAAAAAATAAAAACAACTTTACTTGTGACATTATACTTTTAATATTATTATATTTTGTAAGCCGGTCCTTTCAGCTTTCCATAAATAATTTATTTTAAGCACAAACTATTGTAACATAATAAAATTAATTTAAATGGTTTTTTTCAGGCTAACACTATGTCAATTGACAGATTGACTATATTTCTTAGTTTTAATGAAAATAAATAATTTTAACTGTTTAATAATTCAAGTGTTTAAGCTAAAATATGTTAAGGGGGTGGGTGTTATGTATGAAGGACTAAACACAATTCTAAGCTTCTTTGCAATTTACACATTTTGCATTATACACATAATATTACAAACCTCTCCGAAAGCACCACGGCCAATGACTTTTAAGGGTTCGAAATCTTCTACTCCAAGCCTTGATCGTTTTAACCTGAGAAACTCAGATTCTTTTTGGGCATGTTGTTGGCGTTTTTCTTGTTTTTGTTGTTCAGAAAGATTTTCATCTTTCAAGGTTTCCTCTAGCTTAGCCAACCTGTAAATACACACAAAAATACTTACTAAATATAAGATATAAATAAATAAAACCTGCTAGAATGAATCTAAACGTACAATGAGCCAAAGTTATTACATGATATTAATGTTTTATTTAGGACACGATTCTTATATAGGCACCACTTCGTCAATAATACTTTTTGAGTGATTGATAGCAAACCAAACTACATTACAGTATGTATTGTTTAAAAACTATGTTTGGCATAGCGGGAAAATCTAATCAAAGTAGTAGTCATGACCTGACCTCATCCAATGCTAGTGACACGGCTGTCAGAATTTAAAGTATATAAATTATATGTTAGATAGTAATACAATGAATTTAGATTAAATATTGAATTCATTTTACGGTACAAAATGAACAAGAGTAAACTATCAAATTTTTATCTTTAAAGTTTCAAAATTACAATGTCACAACTCACAAAATAAAATTATTGCCGTAAACATATTGTATTTATATTGAATGGATTACCATTAAACAATAATTATTAATTTTATTTGAAAGTCGTCACTGTCGGTCGTTTAAGTCAACCGTGAAGTTTGGATTATATTTTCAAGTAGAATATTTTACATAAATTATTTCTCGACCATCATCATCTGACATTTGAAGTTCGTTGAATAATATTAAAATTGACACTGGTAATTCCTAAATAGCTCAAATGAATGGACGTCAATTATTCCGAAAATAAAAATGACACAGGCGAAATCCGCGAAGGGATTTGGCAATCTGCCGAAATATATTTACGACACTAAGAAATCCTTATTACGAACACAGCTTATTATTGGCAACGTGTAAATCGCACATATCATACATATTTATATACAACCCAGGAAAAACATATTTAAAGTTGTAAAAGCTATGAAATACGATACACAGCCCGAGTCTTTATTTTTCATGTTATTTGAAGTTGTAATTTAATAGATTTGGGAAGACCATATACGCCTGAATTTTACAGGATTGTGCTTAGGTATTATTTCAGTTTTATGTTCTGATAATCTGCCAAACTGTTAACAGGACATTTTTCTCTAACGACTCTAAGAATAGTTTGAACGTCATCGATCATCATTTAGATAAGAGACATTTTTACAACATCCAAATTGATAATATTTATAAAACGATTGAAATAATTATGTAACCCATTAAATATGGTAGGCTAGCATAAGTATAGTAAGAGTGGCGCGTTAGAATTCAGAATTGAGTTGTAGGTACATTTTATTTTTCTAAATAGGTCAGTGATCATTATTCAACGGACCAAATGTCAGTAACGTTTACAACCTAAGAGCGAAAACCGTCTACATTAGATGTATACGTATTGATCAAATATTCGTTCGACATCCTTACAGCCGCAGAAAAATACAATTATAAATGCGATGGACATTGCGGTTTGATATCCGACGCGGCTGCCATTGAAGGGAATTTGTTTTGACCATTGAAAACAGGTGGTCGCGCGGTACGTCCCTTCTGATGCTTACAACAAATAAAAACCATAAAATCCCACCCTCCCCCGCTCGTCGTTTCCAGCCAAAAAGTTTTTCTTTTCTGAAAACGGTTCCTAAACGCCGGATATTAGTGTCTCAGTTATTGTTACGAGGAGTATACAGAAGAACAGCGCTATATACTATAGTGGACATATCTAGTGGACATACACTATATTGTTGCAATCGATAACACACCGGCGGTAACTAAGTACCAAAGGTATAAAACGTTCGATACATTGATGTTTCAATAATTATTCAGGAACCGCGAACGTGATTATTTTTGAGGAGTCTGAAATGTATTTTTACTCGGAACACAAATGAAGTCGGTCGGTCACGCTTATTATATTTGTATTGCACGTTTCAGTATTTCTGATATCGTAACGTACGGAAGAGACCGGTATGTTTTCCAAGTAGAAACTCGAGAGAAAAATGTAAGTAACGTTGAAGGAACGTGACAGCGAAATAAAAAAAAGTGCGTACAGAAAAAATATATATACATATATATATATATAGTCGTGGGTCGATTGAAATGGAAAAACAACATAAAACGAATTTGTCCACAAACAGCCGTCTTGGAAAACTCAATTTAACGTTAACTCTATGTATTATGTGCGTATGCAGCAGTGACGCTTGATCTGCGGAAACCGTATACGGAAAGCCCTCTTACACAAGACACGCACACGTGAATACCAATTAAGCGGGAAATGTGTACTCAGAAAATGTGAAATTAATTTTTCAACGGCCTACGCGTTACGTGTCGCCCGCGGATTTCGCTAAGCTCGGAGAAGGGTTCATTAAAAATTAAAATGCAACGTTAACGATATCGGACGGATTGACGCAGGAAGTTTTGACAAAGAAAACGAATCTATCGAAATTGCACCAGTCCACGGCCTTTACTCCTTCAATATAAATCACCACCGCGTCGATTCGCCGGCCTATGAAATGTTATCTCTGGCAAACTGAATCGGTAATGTACGTATAGTGCATTTCTATGTTTTTCTAAAGACTAACCGAGGATGCTTAAATAAACAATTATGGAGGAGTAGCAGAAACAAGAAAAGGTGGAAAACGGCAAAAATGTCTGAACTACCGTCCAACAGATGACAGCTACCCAAAGAATGAATATAATAGTACTATGTAATTGCTTTCTGGGTCATGGGGATAATTATGTGATATCATTATTATTTTATCGTCTGAATTGTGTGGTATACGTTTTGTTTATCCAAACAAACGATTGAATATTTTAATAATGCAATTTTTTTTTTTAATTTTAATAAAATTATTATGAAAAATTTTATTTTCATTTCATATTAAAAAAATACAAGCGGCTTTCTGCTGTTTTCATTATTTAATAATATGGCTTCTTTATATCATCTATAAACAATTAAATTATACTTATGTTGATTATAATTATAAGGGAAATTCAAAGTTGCAAAACTCATACTCTTTCCACTGTGACGGAGCTTAAGGACGAGTTTAAAAATTTCGCACCGAGAACAGTGTATTGTTATGGTCTTGTATAATGTAAGGGTTTTTTTTTTATTCAAACTATATTTATCATACACGCCATATCTTGTACAGACTACTACTAGCACTGAATTGACTACCTTTATAGAAAAGTATATTATTTGACAAAAGTTGTTTCTTTCATTAATAATCTATGATTTTTCTAACGAAAAATCAACTTATAATACATAGCATAATTCGTTTTTATTTAAATATTAAACGTTTCTACGAATTGGTTGTTTCACAAAGCGATGATCAAATGAATATCTAATAAGTAAAATACATCATTAAAATGTCAAAGTAGTCACTCTTTTTCATCGATGAAGTAAGTATTATTGTATTTTTGACATAATTTCGTAAACATGATTTTCAATCAAGGTTCTTTATCACTAAAGCCGATTTTTAGGTAATTTTAATGTTATTAAAAATTTATAATAATTGTAAATATTGTGCGTCGGAAATCATGATTATCCTTTATCAATAAGAAAAATATATTTTGTTGATAGTATAAATTGTACTATTAACCAGTTACGTCAAAAATGCTTAGCCTCGAAGATCTAATGGTGCTTGCAGTTAGACTGGACGTCAATCATACTTGTTGTGTACCTAACATTTATACTGGATAAGTTTTAAATCCATACTGCCAATATAATGGATTTCAACGTTTCTGGTTGTAACTTAATTATTAATATAATTAATATTTATAAATCTTAGTGTCTGGATAAAATTATTTTTCACTTTCACTTGAATAATTTTTTTAGTAGTAATTTATTTGTAACGTATAAATTTGTACTTTCATCAAACAAGGTTACCTTTGCTTGCGTTCGATGTGTTGGGCTATCAAGTTACTATAATAATTTTCAAGCGTGACTTTAGCCTTGGTCGCTTTGTCTAAGGTGTGCCCGCTTAACCGGATACCGTTTTCAGTCGCGGCGCTCATCTCCAACACGCCTGCAAAATAATAAAACCATGCATTATTAATACAGATGTATAATTTAAATACGCACACATACATATAAATATGATAAAGCCGATTAAAATGAACGACAGACGAGAAAAGCGGCTGCTTTTTTCTCGTCTTAATACATTATATCCTCAAGTTTCTGGGAAGTATCCGATACCCATCGCTGAACAAAGAGCGAAATATAAGTAGAATAGAAAACTAAAAAAATAAATCATTTTTTAAATTAATTCAATGTAGAAACAATTAAATGTGAAAAACTAATTGTCAAAATATTATGTTAGATAATCTAACAAGTTATAAAAGTCAGCCTAGATTTATAAAACTTACTATTCAAAATACATTTTCCCAGTTTAGAAGTTTAATTATGCAATTAGGGTATAATCGTAAAGCACAAAAGTTAAAATTACAAAAACTTTAGAATTTTTTCAATAGTCTACATGTTTAATGTTTATTTCTAGAGATTGTTTTAGTCATTATTGAACATTATAGTAAAATTGGTATAATTTTCCATCCCGAATATAATAAAATAACTATATTAATAATAAGTGTTATTTATCATCCCAATTCCTACCATTTATAATGGTTTTTTTTTGTGTGATAAAATAAAAATTCAATGGGACCATTGAAAAGTTAAATATTATTATAACTACGTGTGTTCTTATGATACTCTAACGTATAATAAAAATATTTATATAATAATTAATAATTGATAATATTATTAGGGGACTAGAAAGGCTCGAACATTCAAAAACAGATCTACACGATCATGTTTTGTACACCACAATAATTATTAGTGTTATAGTGCCTTTTTGTCTGCTATACAATTGTCTGTGACCTATCAGCAATCAATTATTAATATTTAATTGGTTAACGTGACGAAAAAAAAGTTATAATAACAAACGGAAAAATAACGAAATTGGAAAATTATTCCTATTCATTTCTAAACCAGCGATGGTGGTATCAGCAAAGCGATCCGTTGACAGCGACAACGAGGCGTCCCCTCCTCTACATAAACACAATTATTGTCATGAGATACCGTATTCAACCACAAACCTACTATGGCACGGGGATCCTCGAAACACCGACGTCAAGATAATAGTATAAGTCATCGGAATATCCTACAATGATTCATATTAGTCGAACAGTAATTTTTTCTTCTACGAATGAATTTGTCCTGATAATGAAACATGAGTGTACTGTCCGAGGAAAAAAAATAATATAGCTCTCTCAGTGCCAAAAAATATAGAAGAAAAATAATACCTATTACGTTTCAAAATGATTTCCTACAATATAGTAATCTAAACCATGTGTTTCTATGTCTTGCGATGTACATACTATTATATTATGGTATAACCGAGTACCAACCACAGTAGCGTATCTAGGATTTTTTCACGGGGGGGGGGGGAGAGATATAGATTTTAACAGCCAAACCTATTCAATATAAACATTCCTATTATTATATACATGTTGCATGTAAACAAAAATTTGGATTCTAAACTACAAAACAAAGTCTAATTTTTTTGAGGACAGTGAAAGAATATCGAGTACTTTATCAGGTGTGACTGTTATATTTTTGTGTACTGATAGGGCCCCGGGGGGATATAACCCCCATATCCCCCCCACGTAAATACGCCACTGACCGACCATACATTGGCTTTACTTTGTATTGTGCTAAAACTTTTGCGTATCCTGTTTACATAATATTTTAACACATTACATTGTATGTCGAAAACGTAAAACGTCATGTCGTGTGTATCACATAAACAAATCGATTCAATTCAAACAACAATAACGCAGTAAGGGAATGACCGCGTGTTTCCGTTTACATAAAAAAAATAATAATAATAATAATGGATGCCGTCTAAATGAAATTGTACTTTGGAGTTGTGTTTCGATTCGATGCGATGCATTGTCTTGTATATTATATTGTAAGTTTTAGTTTACAAAGTTTTTTTGTTATAGATGTCCATGATCGAACTTATTAAAAGTGGACGTTAAACCTTTAGAAAGTAGAATCTTTTTATTGGAATCAATAAGCACCCTTTCCCTTTCAAAACGACAATTTTTTTTAAAAAACACCGTTGGACCAAAAACTTTGGTTGAGTACTTGACACTTATTAAAGATAGTGACAAAAATACATCTGTTATCAGTGAACTTTTTTCAATCATATGACTCAACAGTTATAGCAGGGCAATATAGTCACCATTTGTCAAAAATCGTGACAATAAAATATATTATTGCTCCCAATGCATTCAAATGAAGAATTGATGGCCATCGACCTAATGGCTAACTTATAAGTAATTTTATATCCGGATTGAAACTCAGGAGCTATAAGTGTTTGTCACATGAAAATGCTTATTGTGACGTTTATGGAAACAATAAGACGCTGGCGGTGGTTTACCTACTATAACAGCTGCCGCAGGTGACTCCTCCGCCGTCTTTGGGGTCAACGACACTTCGAACGAGACCCAAACTTCATGCGTAGCCAGCAGATATAACAGGCGGTGGCACCAGTAACAATGATAAAAAAAAATGGTAATAATAACCGTAACACGACCACAGGCAGAGCAACGCTGCAGTTGTGCAGTCGAGAAGTGAGCGGCGAACACGCACTGTACGGTTTTATGAATGCGGAAACTCCACGGTTGTCAACACATAGTTGGCAGACGATATTAATATTTACTTTCCGAAAAAAAAAGAAAATGTATATAATGGTTTACTCGTGTACAACATAAAAAATCATACCATATTGGTAGATTTTGTTGAAAAAAAGAGCCCCATTAAGAGAAATATAAGATAAAAGACTTCAAACGAAAAAAGGTAAAGTCGGTTCCATTTGGTATTTCTAATTTCAACCATTTAATAGTTTTCAGATTCAATGCTTTAACCATTCAAGTGATTTCTAACAACAATACCTCTATACTCAATAGATTAGATACTGTACATGTATTACAATTTAATTATTTATTGTACATTTCATAGTTACGCATCTGTAGGTTTTTAATGTTTAAATTTTAACTTAAACGGAATATAACAAAAATAATGTTTTTTAATAATAAAGTAACAAATTTGACATTAAAAGTAAGATTGCGTCATAAACTTAAAATAAAAAAAATTGTATTTATAATTTAACTTTTAATAATTAATAGGAGAAATGAATATCAAGACTGGGTTAATAATTAAATTGTATTTTACAAATAAAATGTCCGGTTTGTATACTAACCGAGTATCTGTTAAAAACATTAAAAAACGTAAAATGCTTATAAAAATAACTACCAAGAACTGGTTATTGATCAGTTATTTTATTAGATATTTTTTATCGTTCTTGTCTGCATATAATAATTTAAGTGAACAGATTCGTATTTGAAAATAAAAAGCAGTTAGCTGTAAGGAGAAGAAATTATATTAGTTTTTAATGTATTTTCTTGATCCGCTTTTTTTTTTTACTGGACTATGGACTGTGGTAAAGACTGACGTCAATTTCACATTTTTACTTATGAGGACGCCACTTCGCCTATTTTTAAGAAGTAAAGTATAGGCATTTTTTTTACAAAATCTTAACTTAAAGGTTAAATTGTGATGTGTAACTATTAGTTAAAAAATTAGGAATCTTTTTTGGTAGTTCAATATTTTTCAGACAACACTATTTCTTTAACAGCAATTAAAAAAAATGTATCTAAACAAAAAGAGCTACGCATATTCTCTATTATCGACTACATAATAATAGTAGACATTTGTGTTTACTAATTTAAAATAATGAGGATTTTATCTAGGTTTATCTCGTTGGTTTTTTTTTATACCAACATTCACAATTTATATTTTAATTCTGAAATTTTTTTACTTTATTAAGTGCTGGTATTTAAGGTAAAATTTAAGTTTCTAAAAGAAACTGACGAGCGAACCTAGGTGAAGTTCTTCTCTTTTTAACAATATCAAAATGTGTTTTCTATGACAATTTCGTTTTGATCTACACACTTTTCCATAAACACGTTATGATTATTTTTAAAGGGTATGACGTTCTCTTAATTAAATAATGCAGTTTAGAAGTTGTAAAATCAAACTCTCACACTTGAACGGCACACACTTGAAGAGTAATGCACTTGACTTTTTATGGTTTATATTATGTAACGATAAAGTGCAAAATACTTGTTTATTGTATTTTTTATAAATTTATTATTATTCTGCATGTGTGTAACTGGTGTATATATATATATATATATTAAATAATTCAAACAAACTTATTCAACTATTATTGTGGGTCATATAACCGTAATTATCTGAATAATATATATTTTACAATAATTTAGCCCAAAGCCCAATCAATACTATAGCCCCCCTCAATTTTTGTCCATCGCGTGTGTGCTTTCATAAGTATGAAATATTACACTCTTTGCTTGAACACTTTCCAACAACACAAAAAACAAACCAAGTGTACTGTAAGAGACATTATTAATATTGAGATTGTTTGGTTATTTTTATGAGAGAAAATTATGGAAGAGCAGGAGTAAAGGAGGAAATTGATATTTTGTAACATTTATGTGGTTGGTTGATTTCCTATCTTTGGCTGATGAGCTCTTTATCTGTTAATTGTTACATTAGTTAAGAGAGGACGCTATGTTTGTTCACATTGAAACAGTTATACCGTCGTCTGGCCGTAAAAACCCGCTGCCAACAAAAAGAAATATAACTACTTCAACTTATCTTTACGCTTGAAAAGCGCCATTTGACCACATCGCTTCTCTCGACAGTATTTTTTCACCGTCGTATTTGTTCTATTGGAAAGTCGATCAGAATCCATATAGTGTATTTTATGTGCGTCATCCGTAAAAACCAAACGTCATTTTGAAAATGGTTCGATGATGTATACTACCACAAAAATAACCTATTAAATGGTCCCGGGTAAATTAATAATATTTATATGCCTACTTACTCTTGATGTTTAAGTGCAAATTGCAATGTTACGTGTTAAACAGTCATACAAAAATG